GTTCGATCTGTAACGTTAAAGTCACAAATATGACAAATGTGCAAAAAACTAAGAAAGGGAACAAAACAAAAACTTTCTCACAACACTGTATTTCCTGTTCCTTGCATCACAGGTTTGGTCATGGTATGTTCCTGGTGTGCTTAGAGTCTCTGTACAAGAAGGTCACAGGATACGAACTCAAGTACGAGGCTCTGATTGGGAAGCCCAGTGTGGTGACTTATAACTACGCTGAGCTGCTGATTAGACAACAGGCTGAAAGACTTGGCTGGAACACGCCTGTGAAGAGGGTGTATGCTATAGGGTGAGTTTTTCAGTCTACATTTAACATTTAGAAATTCAGTTTAAAAAATAATTTGAACTGAGTCCTTTTTTTTTTTAAATTTTATAGTGATAATCCCATGGCCGACATATATGGCGCAAACCTCTACAATCGCTACCTCCAGTCTTCTCGTCACACCAAGGCACAGATGCAGGCTCAGAGTGCTGGTGGAAGTATAGATCCCTCAGCTGTTGACAACACCCCTAAAATGACATCAGCAGAACTAGGTGGAGCTTCAGGTGTGGTAGAAAGGGATCTGCCCGAGGGATGTAGCTCAATCCTGGTGTGCACAGGAGTGTACAGCAAAGACCAACAGGAGCTGCTCTCAGACCCAACGCAAACAGTCACAGAACAACGCATCTTCCATGGTCACAGAGACTTCCGCTTCGATCCCAGCCTCACTCAACCGTCCTTCGAGGTGCATGATGTGAAGGAGGCGGTTGAGTTGGTATTTAAGCAGGAAGGCTGGCCACTACAGTAGGGCTCTCCATCTCATAGTCTGATCTTTCACGATTAGCAACAGGTTATCAAACCATTCCCTTGATTATTACAGGGGAGAAGTAGGTGTTACTATGTTATAACGAGCGATAGAGTCAGCTGTGAAAAGGAATAATATGCCGTTTTAACATCGAATACATAGAAGTTTTTTTTTTTAAAATCAGTCATCCATAATAGTGCATCAGACCACTGCTGAATTCTTTTAAAAAAGTTTAAGTTTTCAATAATAGACATCACTGTTTCTGAGTCAAGGAATTCAGGTTTTTGAGTACATACATTAAGTTGTTGAATTACACATTTTAGTACTTTAAGTATTGATAAGCTCACGGGTGGATTTCAGGTGGAATTCCTCCACAGTTACATCTTTCCAGCAAGTCTAGACTGATTCAGAAAGAGCTGTACAAAGACACAGTTTTGTGACATTACCACTTCAGGCATTTGCACAGTCAAAAAAAAGACACCCCTATAGGTCCTCATTTGTTTTTACTGCTGTCATATTTTACCTAATTATTTTTTTAAACATGGATGTATAAGCTCTATTTAAGTTGCCAGCTATGAGTGTATTACATCATTTTTTTACTTTAGC